CATCTACAATAAATTATAATCCAGAAATGGAAGGCACACCTGTGAGATATTATTTTTGCTTGGTTTGAGTGGTGAATCCACTTCTAGTCTGGACCTTTGAAGTTGGAAGACACACGCCTTTGATCTGGATCTTAAGGAAGGAAGACACACCTTTAATCTGGCCACACCTTCAGCTGGAAGCTTATATAAGCCATGGAAGAAGGGGGCTTTTGTTTTTGATTCTTTCCCTCAGCTTGTTAGCACATCCTTTCCTTCAATGACATTGGAGCCTACTTCTTCAAGATTCCCACAGATACTGAAAACCAGCTAAGACACCAAGTCTTCCAGGTCTGAGGCACCTACAAGATTTTTGGACTTTCCTTTCTTAGAAAGCCATTGTTGGATTACCTTGGTTGCAGGCTTTAAGTCAGTCCAACAAATCACACACACACACACACACACACACACACACACACACACACACACACACGTAGAGACAGTGAGAGAGAGAGAGAGAGAGAGAGAGAGAGATAAAGAAATTCATTCTATAAATTCTGTTACTCCAGAGCAGTGGTTTTCAACTTTCCCAATGCTGTGACCCTTTAATACAGTTCCTTATGTTGTGGTGACCCCCAATCATAAAATCATTTCATTGCTGCTTCATAATTGTAATGTACTGTTATGAGTTGTAATGTAAATATCTGATATGCCACTCCCAAAGGGGTCTTGGTGACCCCCAATCATAAAATTATTTCATTGTTGCTTCATAATTGTAATGTACTGTTATGAGTTGTAATGTAAATATCTGATATGCCACTCCCAAAGGGGTCTTGACCCACAGGTTGAGAACTGCTACTCTAGAGAACCCTGACTAATACATATTTGAGCAGCAGAAGTTGGGTATTATAATGATAGGCCAGACCATGCTTTCCTTTGGAGGAATATGGAATGCTTTGGGACTTGACATTAGTCAAGCAATTGGACATTTTAAGTGGGACTTAATGGGCCACACTGGTAGGGGCATGGAAGACAGTGGTGCTAAGGGTGATTTGAACTGTGGGATCCCAGATCAAGAGGTTTCAGAGGAGAAAAATACCAGTATGAGGCTTAGAAATCATTCTTGTGATATTTTGGTGAAAACAAAAAGTGGCTGCTTTCTGCCCTTTTCCAAAAAAATTCTGCCCGCTCCTAAATTGAAGAACTATGGCTTAACAGGTTGGCAGAGGGATTTAAACAGAGTTTTGACTGTGTTGCTTGGCAATTAGTGGCCAGTTCTATGCAGATCTCCACTGTAAAAGAGAGAGCTGAGCAAGGAAAAATACAAAATGCAGAGTGTGAGGAGAAAGGGAGCACCAAGAAGTTTAATGGAGATAAATCCTATGTTAAAGAAGATAAAAGGATTAAATAAACGCCAAATGCTACATAGAATAAATGGAGTAGTAACCTTAGGCCAAGACACAACCTAGCAACAGAAATCTGGTTTAAAAAAAAATATATGTATGTATATATGTTCCAGCCCCAGAAAGCAGCAGAACTTGGCAGCTTTGGCTATGTGGTTTTGACTTTAGAGTCAAGGACACAAGAAAGGTGCTATAGAATCTCTCCTCATGGCTAAGAAAAGCTGTTGAGGCCAGTCATGTGTCAGAAGTGTCCCTGAAAGGAGGCCTAAAGAAGTCATTGCATAAAGCTGTGAAAGTGAAGTTTGGAGACCCCAAGATGTTAGAGATGCCAGCGTCATGGGACACCTGCCGAGGGGAGCTGCTAACAGGAGTGCAACCAGCCCAAGAGAGAGAAGTGTGCTGCACTTGACAGTGCTGAAAGGAGCTGGCACTCTAAGAGTGCTTTGACATCAGACATGGGGATGCAGAGCCAGGAGTTTGCCCAGCTGGTTTTTGGTCTTTCTTTGGTCCAGTATTTCCTCACTATCCTTCATTTCCTACATTTTGGAACAGTATTGTATATTCTGTGTCATTATGTGCTGGAAGCATGTGATCTGCTTTTTTATTTCGATTTTATAGGTGATTACAGTTAAGAGATCATTACATGAGTCTCAGAAGAGATTTTGAATGTTAAACATTGAGACTGTGATAGACTATGGGGAATTTTGAAGTTAGACTGAATGCAATTTTACATTATGATATGGCTACAAGCCCATAGGGGCCAAGGAGTGGACTGTGGAGGTTTGAATGAAAATGGCCCCCATGGGATCATAGGGAGTGGCACTATTAGGAGGTATGGCCTTGTTGGAGGAAGTGTGTCATTAGGTGTGAGCTTTGAGGTTTCAAATGCTCAAGCCAGGTCCAATGTCACTCCCTCTTCCTGCTACCTACCAGTCTGAATATAGAACTCTCAGTCACTTCTCTAGTAGGACATCTGCCTGCACACTGCTATGTTCTCTGCCATGATGATGGACTAAACCTCTGAATTGGAAGCCTGCCTCAATTAAGTGTTTTCCTCTATATGAGTTGATATGGTCATGACATCTCTTCCCAGCAATAGAAACCCTGACCAAGACAATCAGGTTGACCCATGGCCACATCCGCTGGTGATTGTCTGGAGTACATTAATTGATGTGAGAGGACCCAGCCCACTGTTGTTGGCACCATTTCCTGGGTTTGGGTCCTGGGTTGTATAAGAGTAGAGGTTAGCTGAGAAGTAAGCACGTATCTGTTCACTCTGTTCATTCCTGTTGCTTTGAGTTACAATGATGGACTGTACCCTGGAATAAACCTGTAAGTTGAGTAACCCTTGTGGGATTTGAGTGGGAATGGCCCAATAGGTGCTTCCATTTGAAGAATTGGTCCCCAGTTGGTGGTGATGTTTGGGAAGGATTAGGAGGTGTGAGCTTGTTGGAGGAGGTGCGTCACTGGGAGTGGGCTGTGTTGTTGCAAAAGCTCACACAATTTTCAGTGCCTCTTTCTGCCTCGAAGTTGTGGATCAAGATGTGAGCTCTCAGCTGTTCCTCTGCTCTGCCATTGTGGACACTAGCACCTCTGAAATCGTAAGTCAAATTAACATTTTCTTTTCTAAATTGCCTTGGTCATGGTATTGTATCAGTAACAAAAAAGTAACTATGAATGAGGACACCCATGGGCTCATAGACAGTGACCTTATTGGAGGAAGTGTGCCACTGGGGTGGGCTTTGAGATTTTATATGCTCAAGCCAGGCCCAGTGCGTCTCTCTTCTTACAGTCTGCTAATCTGGATGTAGAACTCTCAGCTCCTTCTCCAGCACCATGTCTGCCTGCATGCTGCCACACTTCCCATCTCGACAACAATGGCCTAAACCTCTGAACTTGTAATCCAGCCCCAATTAAATGTTTCCCTTATAAGAGTCATTGTGGTCATGGTGTCTCTTCACAGCCATAAAACCCTAACACATAGCCACAGAAATAAAACTAGTACATGTTCATGTGTGAGCACCCCCATGCCTAAGTATGTAGAAGTAAGAACCACACATTGGGGGTCTTCTTTTATCACCCTCTGTTCATGGAGCCATGTTCTCTCAGTGAATCTGGAGCTGACGGCTGCTTTGGCTAGACTGGCTGGCCACAGAGCCCCCTGGGTGTACTTGTGTACACCCCACTGCCCCTCAGTGCTGGGGTTACAGATGCTGGCATTCTACATATTGCTGGAGTTCCAAACACAGGTCCCCATACATGTACAGCAAGCACTTTACTCCCAGAGCCTTCTCCCCACCCAACACTGGTTCGCTTTGCACTTCTCTGATTAATGACATCAGTAGCCTTTTGTGTATTTTACATTCTCTGAAGAAATGTCTATTTAAGGCCTTTGGATAGTTCTTTTTTTAATCAGTGTATTTTGTTTCTTTTGCTGAATTTTGGGAATTCTCTGTGTATTGTGGATTTTGGTCTCTTATCAGATACATAATTTGAAAATATAACCCTGACTCCATGGGCTGCCACTTTGATCAGGTGATGAATCACTGTGGAATCCAGTGTCACAAGGCTTCCCTGTGTTCTCAGTGTTTTATGGATTTTAGGTCTCTAATTTATTTTATTTTTTGTGTATGGTCCCTAGATTTAAGTAATGAGCAAATGCAGTTTGGTCTAAGCTCTTTCTGGCCGGTGTGGTGTATATCCAGTTTTCCTAATGCACAGTTGAAGTCACTCTCCACACTCCCACCTCTACCTCTGCCTGATGGAGGAAAGAGCACCCTGGCCACCTGCTCTATGGGAAGCAGAGATGTTGCTGGTGACTCTGAAGTTGGGATGGAGACAGCTGGAAGCTCCTCCACGCCATCATTTCAGCTTGGAGCTGTGGATGCTGGAGAATGCTCACTTTACAGGAAGGTTTAAATACAGATGCCAGATACAAGAAGCAGAATCATACTTGTCAGAGGCCCTAGAGGGCTGGCTCCTGTTTAGTCTAGCTAAGGCAGCTTGTATTGCCATCTACATGGTATTTGCATTTGGGCTATATTAGATTAAAGGGGATCCAGAGAGTTTCATTTTAGAACCCACATTAAAAAGTCTGGGTATGGACTATTTCCTTATATGCCATCCTAGAACCTTCATCCAGTGACTGATGGAAGCAGAGGCAGACACCCACAGCTAAACACTGAACCGAACTCCTGGAACCCAGAGATGGAGGACTGATGAGCAAAGGAATCAAGACTGGGCTGGTTTAACCACAGAAACAGCTGACCTGAACAAGGGGGAGCTCTTGGACCCCAGATTGATGTCCGGGAGACTAGCATGGGACTGATCCAGACCCCCTGAATATGGGTGTCAGTGAGGAGGCCTAGGCAATCTATGGGGTCTCGGGTAGTAGATCAGTATTTATCCCTGGCATACAAATGGACTTTGGCTGTCCATTCCACATAGAGGGATGCTCTCTCAGCCTGGACTCTTGCAGGAGGGCCTAGGCCCTGCCATGAACGAAATGACAGACTCTGGAGATCCCCCATGGAGGGCCTCACCCTCCCTGGGGAACAGATTGGGGATGGGGGGCTGGAGAGGCTGGTGGGGGGCGGGGGAGGAGGGAAGGAAGAGGGAGCTGGGATTGACATGTGAAGCAAGCTTGTTTCTAACTTAAATAAAAAAATATCTGGGCATGGGAGTGGGTCCCAGTGACCCTAGTACAAGGGAGGCAGAGTCAAGCAGATTCCCCTGGGTTTGTTGGCCCAGCCTAGAAGAATCAGCAGGCTCCAAACTGATGAAAGACTGTGTCTTAAAAGCTCCAACATTGCCTCAAACAAAAGTAAGTATTCAAGAGTATAGTACTTGGGAGGGATTTCAATAGCAATAAAGAAAACACATGACAATTTGTATATTTATGGCCCCTGGGGTGATATTTTACCACATGTGTATGCAATATGGAACAGTGAATAAGAGCAGTATACATCCCTGCTGTGGAGTAATCCTTTTGCTCACTGTGAATATGTATTATTCTAATTGGTTAATAAAGAGCTGACTGGTCAATGGCTAGGCAGGATTTTCAGGGCAGAGAGAATTCTAGGAAGAAGGGCAGAGTCTGAGGAGTCTCAAGCCAGATTTGGAAGAAGCAACATGGAAAGTTCATAGATGAGGTAAATGAGCCTCGGGGCAGCACATAGGTTAATAGAAATGGATTAATTGAAGTTGTAAGAGCTGGCTGGAGACACACCTATGCCAAGCATTTATAATTAATAATAAGTTTCTGTATGGTTATTTGGGAGTGGCTTGCAGGACAGACCTGATCAGAGTTGTAGACAGAAACCTCCCCCTACACATCCCCGCCACACTGGACACTCACTATCACTTCACAGGATGGGTGACAACAAGCTATTGTGCCCGTGCCCATGCCTGTGCCTGTGCCTGGTGACTGACTGGCTGCTGCCTCTGGAAACATGGCTGCTGAAGGATTCCGGGGAGCTCTCAGCAAAGGACTTGGTGCGCTGATGTATTCACCCTGGAGAGTGATGGGAATTCAGTGACACCAGAGGTGGGTGACAAAGCCTTCAACACCATCTGGCACGTGGAAAGGTCTCAGGTAACACTGCCTCCTTCCTTCACTTTGACTAATCTCGGTTGTTCAAAATGCACTTGTGTTCTTGGAATCACAGTGGAGCCTCTCTGAGGGCCTCATATCAACTCTCATCATTATTCAGCTCAGTGCCATTCTGGGGCTGTGCCCCAGCCTTACTCAGCTTCCAGGACAGCCTTGGGTGTCTGAGGGCAAGTTCTGTGACTCACCTGAGCTGTACTTCTCTGGACTAAATGTCTGTTGGGCTTTCCACTGCTGCATCACAGGACACATCCCTGGGCCCCGTTACCCGTGGCCTTCCCTTGATTTCCTCTAGAGAGTAACTCACATTACTTGCTTTTCTTGTTGCTATGATAAAAGTAACTTTACGGAGGAAAGGTCCACATTGGCTCAGTGAGGGGCCACAGCCTGTCATGGAGTGGAAGGCATGGCAGCAGGGGTGAGCATCTGGGACCTCTGACTTGATCACATCTTGGAGGAACAGGAAGCAGAGTGGACAGGGAGTAGAGCCAGGCTTCATCCCGTCAAGACCCACCTCTAGTGACACAAGAACTCAGGGGAGGCTCCACATGCTAAATTTTCCAGTCTTCCTAAGCGGCACCACCAGATGGTCGCCAAGTGTTCCCATGTGTGAGCTGTGGGGAGCACGTCACATTCAAGTACAAGTACTGCTGGGCACAGTGGCCAAAGGGTCTTGCTGGTGTGCTGCTTTGCCATCCCAGTGGATTTCCCTTGTCCACATGGACCACGCCGCTGTGCTGGGTGTCCACGGTTCATCTACTGTAAAGAAGAGATGGGGAAAGGATTAGAACCGTCCATATGTTTTTAAAGGCACAGTGTGGATATGCCGCACTTTCTTTTGCTGACATTATATTCCCTGGGCTGTGGATGTAGCTCATGGGAGAGGACATGGCTGACAAGTGAAAGCATGGACTCCACAAGGACATCAAACCAAGAGCTATCCCTTAACTGCAAATGGGCTGGGAAAGAGTCTGATTAGCATTTGATGTCTTGTCATAGAAGGGAGCTAACTACAACTCTCGGTCTCTGCCTATCCTAGTCAGCTTTGTGCTGCTGTGACAAAAGAGATGGCTAATTGTGAGAGAGACTTCTTTATCACATAGGTTTGGAGACTTGCCTGGCCCTGCCCAGGCTCTGGCTCTAGTCTAGTTGGGCCTGTGGTAGGTGGTGGACACATGCAGAGGAAGGCTTAACTGTGAGACGGGAAGCATGGAGACAGAGACGGTACTCCATCTTTCGGTACTTCCACCCCAGTGACCAAGCCTCCAGTCACAAGCCTTGAGTGACACTCAAGCCACATTCCTTGCAGAAACACACTGGCTGCCCATTGGGAAAGACCTCAAGCATCCTGTAAGCAGCCTGTCTCGTTTCCTCATCCCAGCTATAGAGCCCAACCCAATGCTGCCATCTTTCATAGAAAGTTCTAGAAAGATGGTAAAGACCAAGCTGAAAACACAGACAAAGTCCCAGCTCTTGAGTGTCTCACTCTTGCTCATCATCTGGGACCACTCACCATGCTGACCATGGCTGGTGACAGCCCTGAGGTCAGAGCCCTTCTGGGACAGCTGGCGGCAGGGCCTCCACTTCATTTGCTGGGATGGCTCTCAGGGAGCTGTTGCAGATGCATCTTATGAATATCATCTGACACAGAGTTGCCAAGATTGGGTCTGAGCACCTCAGAGGACACCCGAGACAAAGCATACATCTAAATAAAAGCTGCTTTTGAAAACCTCATTATTTTAGAAGATCCCTTCTGGGTGTGTTTTATAAATAGTGTACTAGAATACATTTTGTCATTTCTGAAACTTAAAAAACAGCCTTCTACTGAGTTTATGCTCAGAACTTTTGCTAACTAGGACATGTGACCAAGAAAGTTTGGGGGCTGGGTGTGATGACTCAAGCCTTTAATCCCAGGGCTCAGGAGACAGAGTCAGGATCTCTGTGAGTTTGAGGCCAGCCTGGTCCAAATAGTGAGTTCCAGGATATTATGTAGAGCTGATCTCACAGTAAGGACTTTGGAGAGTCCTTGTCCCCACCTGCCCATGGCAGCCAGCCCTATCCTGGAAGTTCGAGTCAATCCCAGAACAGGTGCTTAGCTCTGGAAGTGTCAAGAAGTAGTAATTGCACGATGGCTTTGCATGTGTGGCCATGTATGTAGGGTGCATGTGAATGGATGTGACCTGTGGAGGCAGGAAGACAGCTTTAGGTGATATCATGTATTTACTTATAGGTGGCAGGGTCTCCTACTGGTCTGCCTGAAGCTTCCCAAGTAGCTGGCCAGTGACCTCAGTGGAACCCACCTGTGTCCAGCTAGTTCCATCACACCCAGATGGATTGTAGGCGCAGAGCCTGGGTGAGCTGTCTGTCCAGCCCCCTCATGACGGCTTTTGTTCAGGGAGTTGAGAGGCATAACATCAGAAACATAAAAATGCCCCTGGTCAAGCTGCCCTGTCACACCGCACAGCTCCCTGCAGTCTGGCACATGGCTGACACTCAACAGTATTCTGGGGGTCCTGGTTTCTCACTCTCTACTCCAGTGTGCTTCACTGGCCCCAAAATTCACTCGACCTCTTGGGGAAAAACAAAACACCAGACCCCCAAGAGCATCTCACATGCACAAATGAGGAATAGACGTGTGGCTTTTCATGTGCGTCTCACATGCACAAATGAGGAATAGACGTGTGGCTTTTCATGTGCGTCTCACATGCACAAATGAGGAATAGACGTGTGGCTTTTCATGTGCGTCTCACATGCACAAATGAGGAATAGACGTGTGGCTTTTCATGTGCGTCTCGGGGGTTGTTGGGGTCATGTCAACAGTCCCAGATCTGGGTTATTTCACAGTCACCATAAGTGACAGTGCTATTGGGAGTCAGGGCAGGGTCATTAGGTCACCAAGGACATGAAGTGGCCCACATATGACTGCTGGGCCCAACGTAACATGCATGTGCACCATGTGTATTCCTGGTGCTTGTGGAGGCCCTAACGGGGCATCAGATACCATGAAACTCAATATGGATGGTTTTGAGCCACCATGTAGGTTCTAGGCAATAAACCCCAGCCCTCTGCAAGAGCTCTCAACCATTGAGGCACCTCTCTGTCTTCCCTCTTACAGGATCTAATTTTCATCCATCTAGCCACCCAACCTATATGTACTGAGCACTGTTTCTGGGGACTGAGACTCCAGGAGAGTGAAACAAAAATGTCCGCCTTTCTGTGGTGGATGGAGATGAAAAAAAGTTACTGTGACAGACACAGAGTATCTGGGGGTGACTGCCGGGTGACAGGAAGGCTCAGAGTGTGGGAACGGGCACCTCGTCAGTGAGTCATACAAAGTTGTAAATGGGGTAACCCGGAAAGTCCGTGATGACAGCATGACAATCTAGGAGACCTCCAAGAGGTCAGGAACAAGTGTGGTGGTCACAGGCCAGGGTTTCCCAGGCCTCGCTCTGTGGAAGTGCTAATGTGTGTCCCGTGTTAGGCAAAGTTCTTGGTGTTTGTTCCTTGACGCATAGCTGTGCAGCTCTTATCTTCATGTGCCTCTCTCGTGTCCCCTCCTACCCTGAGGATGCCAGGCACTGGATTCAGGACCCACTCCAACTCCATCTTCACTAACTGCATCTGGTGGACCTGCAATTTAGAACGATGCTTAAGGACCTGCTCTTAGAATGTGAGAGGCTGAGGCCCCACTGTAAGGGGAAAAGAGACAGGGAGAAGTCCACATGACTCGAGCTTTAACGACTGACAGAGGACCCTTGTCATGGCAGGGGAGGCTGCAGGCAGAGCAGGAACATGGCCTTAAGCTATGTTTGAGTGGAGCCAACTTGAAGGTCACTTACATGGGGGACATGTATGTATGTTGGTGTGTACAGATAGGGTACAGAGGCCTGGGCAAAACTGTCCATGGATAATACAGACAGACTGGCCCCATGACATCACAGGGTTTCACTCAGGGGAAGAGCAGGCTGCATTTCCAGGCCCAGGCTCTGTGCTGCAGAGAGAAATCAAGATGGTGTTCTGTGTTCAGTGAGCTGCTCACCTCACCTAACTCCTGTTGATCAGGACAGAGTATGAAAACGGTGCTACAAAAACCAGCATCAGAAAATGTTAGCTCTGTATCCATCTTGGTTTTGTTTTCTAGAAGGGCTGAGAGCCCTCCACAAGGACCTTCCTGGAGAGCACCCTGCAGGAGACACAGAGTTCTGGAAAATTATCAGAATTATTTCTGCTGCTGGTAACCTTGACCTGTTGGAAGCCCCTTGCATTATGGTAAACTGAGGTATCACTGGTAAGGATTCCAGACCTGCCCCAGGGTTTACAGCCATCTGTATAGGGACCTTAACATCAATGAGGCTGAGAGGGTCAATGTGTCACCTCCACTCATGGTGCTAGCACCTGCCTGGCCAGATGCGAGCTGAAAATGTAATGAACAAGACAGGAGTCTCGGACATTGTCCTTGGGATGTGTAGTTTAAAGTCAGAGGCTGATGGCATCGTCATGGGCAGCTCTGGAGAGAAACGAAGATACCTGTGCCTTTAACTGGGTGAGAAGCAAAAGCAGAGCTGGTGTCAGTGAGCCTCCCCTGCAGTAGTGAACCCCATCCCCTGTGCCACCCTTCCCCTCTAAGAGAAATGGCAGCCATGGGGCTGCCCAAGAAGGTAAACTTCAAATGCAGGCTCATGCTATGGGGTTTAGAGAGACTGCTGTGAGAGATTTTGGGGCACTCAGCCCTGAGTAGGATGTCTTCATCAAAGACTATCCTCAAGACTCAGGGGACAGGAGGCAGAGATTGTAAGAGCCAGGGGTGATGGCTGACTCTTCCAGACTCCATAGGGCTGATAAGCATATGCCCTCACAGCCTATGGCAGCATGAACAAGACCTGCACAGGTTCAAGCAGACAGGGTCCCAGGACTGGGACGGGGAGTGGACACAGGCAGGCTCCCATCCCTAACCAAGAAGCTATCTATAGCTGGTACCCATCGGAAAAGAAAAAGTCATTTTACTCCAATGGAGTCTCACTGGGAATATTAACCACATCTTAGGGCAGGTCTCATGCCCAGGAATAGATGACCAACACAAAATTAATCCAGTGGTGTTTATTTTATAGACTTTTTTTTTTTTACTGATTTTGCTTTGTTTGGCCATTTGTGTGTCTTAATTGGTCTTCATTATTTTCATTTTTGTGAGGCTATATATGTGTTTGTCATTTTGTTTTTGTTTGTTTTAGAAAGTGGAAGAAGTTAGGTGGGTAATGAGGTGGGGAGGATCTGGGAGTGACTGAGGGAGGGAAAAACTGATCAAAATTGTTATGTGAAAAACACTGATTTTCAATAAAAAGCTTAAGAGACTGGTGTGGAGGGAATGAGTGAGGGTAGAGTGGAGGGTCAAAGGTTTATCTTAGAGAATGACCCAGAACTTGGACCTGACAGATGAATGAATGGGCACAGAAAGCAGGCTGGGCCAGCACATGCAAAGGGCCTGGGGCAGATAAAGACATGGCATGCTTGGGCCTAAGAACAGAGAGCAGAAGACAAAGAGTGTAAGGGGAGAAAGAAACAAAGTGAGCTGGCAGAGCAGCCTCAGAGCAGCCTTGGAAGAGCAGAAGGATTAACAGAGATAGGAAGAGTCACAGAGCTCCGCACAGCACATGGTGCAGGTCTCTGCTGGACTCTCAAGGCTCATGAATCTGCTGCATGCAATACTTACATTTCTGTTCCTACTGCTGTGGTCTCTGCCCCCGAGCCTCTCAATATGGCCCCAGCCAGGAGAGGGGATGGGGAAGGCCAAGTCTAGACCTCAGGAGCAGTCGTTTTACATGGGGTACAGTGACTGGTTGTAATGAGCCTTCTAGGGGTGATGATGCTATGTAGGGTCTGTTGGTTCCAAAGTGGGTCCTCCAAAATGCCAGTGCTGGTGACGATGTCCCAAAAAGAAGGACTCTGACTCTAAACACAAGGGTTGCTATTGGATACACAGAAGCCTGCATCAGATCAAACGCTCTGCCCTGCTGAGTATCCTGAGATCCACTTGATTTTCCACCGTTTGCTTCTCCCCCGACACATGCACGCATGCCGAGACAGCCTTGACAGTTTGAGCCCCAGTAAGCCCTTCTACCCACCAAGTGGTCTAGTTAGGTGGTTTCTTTGACTCTTGCTTACAAGACTCACTGAAGAGCTGAGATGGGCAGAGTGTTGCTCCTAAGGTCAGGAGCTGGGAGCAGAAGCCCATCGGGGTGACAGGGTGGAGGCCATCAGGATCCTGGGACAGAAGCCACCGCCATGCAGACTTTCTGCAAAGACGAAGGTGGCTCCTGGACATACGGCTCTGGTGCTCTTACCTAGGGCAGTAGGGTGGTTTGGATTTCCCTGGCAAAAGGCAGACCAGCTAGAGAAGGCCACACTGTGTCTGGCTGCTCCTGGATGTACAAGCAGGCAGGCCTTGCCTTGCTGACTGCTTTTACCTTCCTCAGAGGTCCCTGGTCCCGAGAGAAATGATGGCCACAGATGCATAGGAAACATGGGGAAGGAGTCAGAGGAAATGCCCACCTCTTCCTTACTCATCTACTCTTGACTGAGTGCACAGGAACCTGTGATGATGATGTGGGACTTTTTTTTTTCCATGTGGAATTATTCTACATCCCCATTTTACCAAGATCAGTGTACTAGTACAAATGACTCCCAGTGTTTAATTCAAACAAAATTGCTGTTAGCTGAACCACATCTTGATGTCTGGAATGTCACCTGAAGTGATAAGTGAATCTTCTAACAGTTAGAATCTAATGGCTTTCTAGGATTCATGGAAATCCTAGTTGTCAGTAAAGAATCCAGACAAAGAAACCACAGAGAAGGGAGTCTAATTTAGAAAATGCCATTTTAATCCCCTCACTGAAAAGGCTTCTCTCAACCAGATTGTAACAAAATCCACAGCTTATTCCAAAAGAAAAATTTAATACAAGAGATTTTAGAAAATTAAACATATTTGTTTAAAAATTCTATTGTGTAAACCTTAACAGAAGAGGGGAGTTGGGATACCACATGCTCAGACTTTGGGCTGTTTATACCCCCAGGCTCCAGACACAGGGCTGCAGCAGCCACGGAGAACTCTCCCAGGGTGGATGGAGATACCTAACCAGGGCCCTCACTCCCCAGAGGTCCCAGCTCTCAGGCTGTCTGCCCAGGGGCTCAATGACCATGTGACTCCTGTGTAACCCACTCTCCAGTGTCCTGCATCCCAGTTCTTGCTGGGCCTTCCCAACCAATCCCACCGATGACCAAAAAAAACACAACCCAACCAAAAAAACCTCCATGTGGTCAAATGGCCTCCCCCTGGCAGGTTGCAGGTGGTGGCTGGGACACATGGTGAGCGGTGCCTACAAGGCTGGAGAACATGGTTGCAATGAGGAGTGACCCAGCATTCATTCCAGTCCTGCTCCAGTGCTCTCTACCCTCCCCACCCACTGCCTAGACTGTACTTCAGAAGCATAATGGAGACCACGTTACAGCAACAGGGAGCCCAAGGTTTTGGCACATAAACATTGGATAAAATATACAGTGCTACAGTTGTGCAAAGTCAGTGCAGGACCAACCTAAACAGCAAACATTTAACGCTAGCTTTAATGAAATAATGCATAATATTTTGAAGAATGTTCATTACAATAGACCTTGTTCATGAGGAGGCACCTGCCTTCTGGTCACAGTCCCCAAGCCAGGAGGCGGCTCTGGGGTGGATGGCATTGTCCCTAATGGGAATGTTGAGCATCAGGATTTATTTTCATGGGCATAAGGCTGCTCCTTCTTGCATGGCTCCCAGTCGTTGTAGCAGGGCAGGGCAGGGCAGGGCATCATGGCGAGACCACTCCTGGCTCGTCCTGGTGGCTGAAGATCTAACCCTCTCAGACCTCAGCTGGGCACAGTTGTGGGTGTATGCAGGTGCAGCCTGGCAAAGAGATGAAGTCTGATTGAGGACCTGAGAGACCAGGGTCCAGCCTCTACTGAGGGGCCATTTATGTTTACACACAGTGTGTCGTACACAGGCAGATGGAGCTGGAGTAAATGGCACAGGAGCCAAGGCCTAGAACACTGTGACTTGGGCCTCAGGACATGTGAAGTGTTCCAAGAAGGAAGTTTTAGCAGCCACGTGTATGCCACAGTCAGGCTCAGGGTTAGAAGCAAGCTCCTGAAGGGGTGGGGTTGGTCACACTCACCATGGGCTCTGCATTCCTCTCCAGACTTTGGACCTCAGATCTGGGGAGCATTGTGGGAACAGCCTTCCATCTCCTGACCCTGCCCTACACTGCTCTGCCTAAGTTCTAGGGGCTTACATGCTCACATTGTGGGGTAATGAGAAGGGCAGCCTGGAGCCAAGAATTTTGCTGGATTTCTGTGGAACAGTGTGGGCAGGGCTGGAATGTGGTAGATATCAAGTAATCAAAGGTTCCCACAGGGTTCCTGGCACCATGCTCTTAGGGTAGAGTTGGGCGAGTTTCCCATAATTATCCTTGAAAACCAAAGCATCTACTCTGGGTACCCTTTTTCTCCTTCCTTCCTTCCATCCTTCCTTCCATCCTTCCTTCCTTCCTTCCTTCCTTCCTTCCTTCCTTCCTTCCTTCCTTCCTTCCTTCCTTCCTCTCCCCCTCCCCCTCCCCCTCCCCCCCCTCTCTCTCTGCCCCTCTCCCTCTCCCTCTGCTTTAACTGCAGGTGGTGAATGTGAAAATGGTTCTGTATGCCATGTTTGCAGTGAGAGAGCCCAGACTCTCAGTAACATGTGTTTGGACCACATGCCTAGAGATCTGCTGTTCAGAACACTTTGGACTGTGGGAGATGTAGGAGGTGGCTGGACCCTTTCTTTACAGAACATGACAGAATACGAAGTGTCCCCATGCTGAGTGTCCCCGCTCAGGAGGTGGACTTGGGGGCCACTAGAGTCTCACAGGTCCTTCTGGCTACTCGGTCCAGTTGCCCAACCTACACTCTGGGTGTGGTGTTTGTGTGGAGCCTGTGGCCTCTTAGGCATTGGGAGAGGAACCATGTTGGCTTTCCAGGGCTGACAGATCTCTTGGGTCTTCCCTTAGCAGCAAGCTAAAGATGAACCCCTGCTTCCCCCAAGTCCTGCCTCATCTGTGCACAGCCCGCCTGACCCAAGGTGCCTTCTGAAATTGGATCTGTCCAGCCTGTCTCCTCACACTCTGAAATTTCCTCTGGCTTCTAGGGGACTGCCCCCAAGCTGTCCTTGGGTTAGGAAAACCCCTGCTTCCTCAGACCACTTGCTGAGGTCTAGCTTTGAGATGAAGCCCTTCTAGGCCACATCCAGGCTGCTTTCCACAGTCGCTTCCCCAGGGAGATGCCACCGGGAACTCCTTGGCAGGCAGAGATCTGCATACTGCTTGGTACATGATTCCTTTTGCAAGCTCTTCCAAGCTATCCCAAGACACCAAGGAGGTTCTGACCTGGGGGGGGGAGGTGACTGCTGACAGAGGGCCCTGAGAAGCAGAGGGACCCAGCCTCAGTGCCAGAGAGGGGCAGAGCTGCCAAGCAGCTGGCTCTGAAACCACTCCATGCCTGAGAGCTTTGGACTCTAGGGTGGAGCCCTGAGTTGAGAGCAATAGAACAGCATTTTGGGGTACACAGCATCCTGCTCTCACTGAGCCACATTAGGGGACAATTTGTGCTAAACAACTTCAAGGGACAGTCACTCTCTGTTCAATTCTGGCACTGGGTCTGAGACTCTATAGGGCTGGCTTTCCACAGTATTGACCAGAGCCAAATCTCCAGTGACCAGAGGTCACAACCACGAATTCTAGCATTAGGGATCTCCTCCTCAGGGTTTCCAGGCTGCTGCCCAGGGCTGGGCTGGATAGTGGAACCCCTCAGGTCTCCTATGTGGATGATATTTCCTGGAGCCAGCACAAGGAGGGAAGGATAAGTTCTTCAAGGACCAAAGTCACTGCCAATGCCTTTGTTAGGCTACTAGAGGACTGTTCCTGGAGAGATGCCACCCACACCAGCCATGTGGCAGTGCTGTTGGGTATCTATCCATCACAGGGGAAAGAAGAAGTGGGAGGAGGAGTCCTGAGCCACAGGCTGTGGCAGGCAGTTGCATCAGCAGAAAATCCAAGGGTTTAACAGTCGTTCTAGTTCCCACGTGGGAAAGCGTTGTGAGTGGCATCTGAAGGATCCTTCTGCCCATGTGTCGTGCATTTCAACCAAGGTTCCTGGCACCCATTGACCTGCTGGCCATCCTAGGGTAATGACAATGTCTCCATCTTGTCTGTCCACTGAGCGATGCCTTGCTCTAAGTACAGGGACCAGCAGCTAAAACTGACCAGTTTAATTGGGTGGCATGTGGCAGCAGGAAGAGTGTGCCCTCTGTGGGGACAGGGTCATCCTGCCAGGGTGTCCAGGGCCAGATGCCATGGCTAGGTTGAGCACAAAGTGGCTGGGTTCTGGGATTCCACTGAGGTCAGAGGTCACCGCTCTGAGGTTCCACATTGCGCATCTCCCTGGGGTGGCCTCGGGACAGCTTTGGGAAGCGGGAAACGACTTTGGGTCTGCTGTTCTTGTTCAATGGTTCTCCTGCTGGAGCTACATCCCTGCAAGACAGGAGACGCTGTTTAAGTAAGAGTTTAAATGCAAGTGACACAGGCAGGGATAGGAGTCACATGTGAGATAGCAGAGGTCACACAGAGAGAGGAGAGTGTCTGGTCCGCTCCAAATGGTCAGTGTAACTTGAAGAAATAGATATTCATGTTGCTGTGTAAGTTTCCACTTTTTAAACAGTCTGGGAAGGCCTACTAACATGATCTGTATCTAAGCTAGACTTAGGGTACCTTGCAGGACCCTGTTTTGAGGCTATAAGCCAGGTCACCAGCCAGGCGCTCTGCCATACTTCCCTTCATCTCCCAGTGAAGCCTCATCCTGAGTCAAAGAGAAAATGCGGCCAAAATCCCAGCACCCAGCATTGTAACAGATGTGCAGCCAGATGTTCAATGGGGACCTCTGCTGGTGTTCATCCAAGAGGAGAGTCAAGACATATGCCAGTGTTTGGTGACCAAGGCATGGCTCACAACCCTGTGGGGGACACTGCTAGGTGGCATGGATGGGCCCAGATGTGGCACTCAGTGGATGTTGAGCTCTTAGATGCTCAGTCATAGCTCAGGATGCCCCTGAATCCCCCTTGGAAAAAGGAATACATGTGGGATATGGTCTCAAAGCTTTTGCTTTTTTTTCTTCTTCTTCTCCAGTCCGGTAGGGTCTCACTGACAGTAGTCATCAAACACCTACCCACCAGAACAGCCCACAGTAACACAACCTGCATCACTGACGTGAAGAAATGGGTGGCTACCACTTAAAGCAAGTGGGAGAGGGGTGACCTAAGAAAAGCATGGGAAGCCCTTACAGACTCAACCCTGCTCTGAGTGGGTCATGGCTCTGTCCTCCAGCCACACCTCTGCAGCCAGGAACAAGAGTTTTTGTTTGTTTGTTGTTGTTTTTTTTTTTTTCAGCACGTTCTGTATTGACGGGGCCGTTGAGGGTATCACATGTTGAGATGAGGGTCAGGTCAAGCAACAGTGGTGCCAGCTCCAACTCTTCCAGGCAGAGGGGTGGCAAAGGAGAGTGAGAAAACCCTGAGCAACGTGAGAAAGGGCTTCATGGGGACAGCAGCCAGGGTACCAAAATAGGTGCAGGAAGGGGACACCACTACAGGAGGAATGCTGCTACAGGTGTAGCGGTGCCTGTCTGCCACCTAGCACCCTACAGTGCAGGATACATCCATCCAGGGGTGGAAAACAGAAGATGATCAAGGCAGAGTCAGGGAAACATGGCTACCTGACCTAATTCCAGCCTAATTCCAGTCACTGGGTGACTCTCAGTGATGTCACTTCCCCTAGTAAGAGTGCTGGTGCTGAGCCTGGTCCCCTAGTTCCAAAAGGCTTCAGTGTTACTTAACCTGTAGTTCTCAAAGTCTAGGAGCAAATCCATTCACTGAACATTACCCACCCCAATTCACTACAGCCTGAGCTCTAGGCACATCCCTGAGCCCATCACTCCATATGGCAGGCCAGGGTCACTTAAAACGCCACCTGACCTTGTGTGTCCTGGGCACTTCCCATAGCTCCTCAGGCAGCACTCCAAGGCTGACTTCTTAGGACAAGGCTGGCTGTGTCTGCAGCCTCAGTGTGAGCAACCTCTCCTTCTCCCTTGACCACGTGGGACACCAGGCCTGGAGGATTTCCGTAGTGTGCTAGCATGCTGCAGATACAGCTTTACTAAGGCTGTCCTCAGTCACTTCCTAACGATTGTGTTCACATGGCATTGGCTGAGGTGAGCAGCTATAACACAGACTGAGCGGCCTGCAGAGCAGCAGCCACATCTGCCAAGCCCCGCCTCCAGCCTGCTCTCCAGCCTGCAGGGGTAGAGCCTAGCAGCAGATCTCCACCTGCCAGCTGGGAAAGGGGTGTGAGAGGGAGACCCCAAAGTTCATATGCCATTCTACCACCATTGAGGGAAGAGGGCCTTGCTCTAGGGGAGAGCCTCAGCCACTGCCTTAAGCTGTCTCACTCAGACCTGGGAGCAGGAGGGCAACACTCACGAGACAACAGCCTGCATTACACAGGCAGGAGGCAGCTGAGCGGGTACACGTGGGGTCTGACCCCACCACCATGGTCTGTTGTGGGCTCACAAGAGCAGCCATTCTCAGCCCAGGTGTGCTGCAGGGCCACCAGACTCCAAACACAGTGCTCAAGCCAAGCTGTAAGGCTCATAAGAAGCATGCTGGAGAACCCAGGGCTAGGAACCAGAAGCAGAGGAACTGCAGCCTGGGGGGTTCTGAAAACACCAAAGCCAGTGGAAAACAACTCCACCCGTCGCTGAGGCTTTTTGGTAGCCTAGCACACAGATCTGTGAGAAGTGACTTGGGACTGTCTCTAGAAGAGGGGCATGCACAGTCACGCTGGGGGGGGGGGTACTAAGCACTCTCCAGCACCCTCCTAGCAGCTGTGTGCCACTAACTCTCCATTCCAGACTCAGCCTCATCCAAGAACAAGGCTCTCTGGGGCTGGAAGCCAAGTGCTCTGCAGCCTTCACCTGGAAGTCAGTGCTCAGAGGAGCAAACTGTTACAAAGCACGCTCTGCCTGCAGCACTCACCCCAGAGTTAATTCCCACTTAAATGCAGTGTGGACTTCAGCACCTCCTTCCCAGGCTTCCTCAAAGAACATGGCTACTAGAGCAAGAATGTTCAGAAAGACCTCTGCACCTTCCTTAGAGGCAGAGGAAACATGACTGAAGAAATCAGTTCGTCAGCTCTCCAGCCTCAAGGTACTTTTGAAATGTATTATTTTATTTCATTGTTTCCTGGAATAAGTAACTCAGAAAGCGGAGCAAATTTAAACAATAAAAGCACAGAGGTAAATGGCATGTGTGTGTCCCCTGCCCTGGTCCTGGTCCAGGGAGCAGCCCTTTTTGTTCTGAGTGGTATCTCTCTTGAGCTACCTACTGTACAGAGAATGAGAGAGAGAGAGAGACAGAGACAGAGTAAGAGAGACAGAGACAGAGAGACAGAGAGGCAGAGAGAGACTGTTTTACTTGTTTACAAATGGAAAATATGCCCCGTGCTGCCTCCTGCTTCTCGTGCCAATGGTAGGTACATTATTGAGCTTCTCCGTGCTGCTTCATAGAGATCAGCCTCAACATTCTGAAACAAGGCCTGACAACAGTCAGGCCCTTCATGCCTGTGGCTCTGGGAGGGGGTGTTGCATGGGCTGCTGCATCCCTACTGGACAGATGCTGTGGATGGCCTGTGGGGACTAGCCTGTGGCAGTTTCCTGGACACTGCTTTAAATTTTTCTTTTCCTTGTGGTCCTGGGAATGAGCCCCAGGGCTTTGTGCACACTGAGTAAGTGCCCTCCACTGAGCAGCATCTCAGCCTTCTAATCTACACTTCTAGGTGTGAACCCCATTGTTCAGCCACAGTGTAGGAAGGCCTGCTGTCCCAAACACAAGTGAACTTTTCTCCTTAATGGGCACCTGATGACAAATGAACAGTCGCCTGCCTGTCACTGATGAGGACCAGGTCCTGGGTCTGCCATAAGCAACACTGTTCTCCTGCAGACATGCATGTGTGTTGGGGGACCATGAAAGTGAGGAACACAGGCTTCAGGGCCTGGTTCTGGGTTCACCTCCTCTCTAGTTAGGTACAAAGAACTAAATAGACTCAAGTACCAAGTGTCTGAAGGAGTCTGGCACACGCTGATCCCCAAAGTCAACATGAGCACGAGAAGGAAATGCTATGAAGAATCCAGAGCTTCATGCAAGACTTTCCACCTGCTGCTCCCACAAAAACTCCCCAGTCAACTTAAAGCCAATGCCCTGCTAACCACACCTGCAACTGTGGCTGAATGGTCCACATTCCCGCCACAGCCTGACCCACTTTCCCTCACTACTGTCACACACACCCATATCTGTCCCTCCTGAGTGGCCTGGGCTGGTTTCTTGGACACCCTGCTGTGTTCTGTATTTTTTACCTTAACTATAATAGTTTCTTTCTGAGTTGGAACCAAATGTGGTCCCTAAATTGTTTCTCCCATGATGGGGCTCAGGCAGAGTGACTGTAAGCAGCCTAAGGGGAAACTGAGTATGGGGAGATCCATCAAAAATATCAGAGGTCCAGAAGAGAGACACCAACTACAACTGACTCCCTAGACACCAGCACTGTCCCAGAGAACTTAATCTTGGAAGGACTTCCCAGGAGTCACGGGAAGGTGTCAAGCACGGAAGACTGTACTCAAGAGCAAGACTAACCAATGGCGCTACGACACATGCCACCATCATCTTTGAACAGGATTGTGTTCTTTCACGATTGCTGGAGTCCCATCTTGGGCAGGAGTCCCCAGACATCATTAGAGCTGTGCAGGACCATGAAGCCCACCTCCTCCTTGGGGACTGTGAGAGCAGACTGCTATGAGGTGTCCAGAATGACTCCAAAGCTTTGCTTCTGTTCCAATACACTGACCCCTGCCCTTTGTCTTGTGGACTCACTGGATGTGACCCTTCCCTGGGCCACACAGGGAGGACCACAGGACACAGAGCATGCAGACAGGCTCTTACAAATGACAGGGCTTTTGAGTCAAGGTCTCACTATGCAGCCCTGGCTACCCTGAGCTCACTATATAGACCATCAGGCTGGCTCCAAACTCACAAATCCACCTGCCTCTACTTTGTGGGTCAATGTGTCCTTAGTACCAACTGATTTTTGAAGGTGGCTCTGCCTTCATTCTGTTGTCTGTGCTGAGCAACAGGTGGCATAGTCATCACTCAGGCAGTGTCTGCACACCAGGGACACCTAACCCATCCTACCCTTGTCTAGGCCAAGGGCACAGAGACTAGAGTAACCTGTCTGCTTTTACAACCTATTTTCAGACCTCCAAGAAGGTGTCTCAAAGTCGTCAGCCACTCTCCGAACCCCACAGCCACCTTGGCTCCCAGGAACAGCAGAGGCACATCCTACAGTGGGATCCCACAGTGGGAACAATCATCTCGCAAGAATTAGACTTCCTTGGGGCCACCTTTGTAGAACCAGAATCAAGTAGTGAT